CTGAGCCTCTGTCTGGCCAAAGCCACCACTGGGCGCTACATAAATCAGTTACCTCTGGTAGGATTGATGTATGTTGGTGTCCTGTACATCATAACTGAAATACATATGTGACAATTTATCTAGTGCTTAGTAACAGGTATGGGATGGAAAGTTAATGGGAAATAGATCAAGAAACTGCTTTTTCAAAATTGCTTCCTCTGTTTCAGAGTGGGTGTCTGAGTTAAAGGAGCTTAGGACCTCCTCACTTTTTTTTAGAATAATCAAGGTGTAAACTAGAAATATAGAAGGGAAGTTCTGACTGCAAAATATATTTTGGTACACCAAATTAGAGACAGCAAATTAAGCCTACCTTCAAGAAACCTTAAAACCAGGCAGCAGCTGAGCTGTGACCTGCAGCAACTCCAGCATGAAATGAAACTCTGGGCTGATTTTCCTCCAAAGACAAGCATGGAAAACATGGAATGTGCAGCACTATTGCACTACTGGCAGCCATCCACCCAGGGATAAGCAAGCCATGTTTGTTCAGCCACAGCATCAGTATCAGAGCCAAGACTGACCAAAATTCCCCCTATTAGGTGTCCTGAAAAGATTACACTAGTATGAACTGGGCAGCATGTACAGGACTGCAAAACTCATGAGAAAAGACATGTTCTGAAATAAAGAGGAGTAAATAAATGGATCTTGAAAAAGATGGATGTAAAATATTCATAAGAAAGCATTATACTTGCAAATATTTATGCTTTTGAGTAACTTTACACAGATAGATTAACCAACTCCAGTGTAGCTATGATTCATGTACCCAACACCCAGTATTTGCTGATTCAGAGCCTGTGCAGTGCCCCGTGGAAGAGAACAATAGGAATTTTCCCAGCCACCAAACCTGCCGAGGTTTAAAGGTGCCTGCGGGCAGAGGTGCCAGCAATGCCCTGGGCTGTGCTCCAGTCACTCCGAGGGCAGCAGCTAAACCGTGCTGGGAAGTGACTCTCTCTGGAAAACATGTTATTGCAGATCATGCCACAGACACATTGGGATATATGCTTGCAGTGAATCTGTGAATATTTTGTGGATGCTAAGCAGCAATTAGAGTCTTCCTTTGGAATCAATTCATTCCCTACCACCATGGTAGCAGGGAGGATCTTATTGAAACTCTCGGATTTTTAATATTATTACACTAAAGACTCTCTCAGTATCAGCATCTCCATGGGGGAGCATTAGCACACTGTAATGTGTAACAACTTCTCCAGTTCAGGAAATCTTCTTGTATTTGTAATAGGACATTTGGGGCATATATTATGTATGGGACATATATTTCTCATTTCCACCAGGCATCATCTTTTCTTCTCTCTAAATTACTCTCCAAATCAAAAAAAAATGCATTGTATTCCTTATCGCTCAAAATATATATATATATATAATTTTTTTTTTTTCCTTTGGATGCAGAAGCCACTAACAGCCATCAGGGCTGCACTCAGTAAGAGATGGAGAGTCTTGGTCAAACAGCAAGGGAAAGGAGGTGCTGTTCAAAATACTTATCACCAGTCTAAAATGCTTTACTGGAGAGAAGCACCAGTCAGGACAGGAGGAAGGCTTGGTGGTCCCCGCCCAGAAGTGTGTCCAGGATGAAGCAGGACTCCAGTTTCTGTTGTTTGCTTTATGGACAGGAACACAAAACCACTAATGCGTATGTTGCCTTCCAGACAAACCTCTCAAACACTGACTAATCACAGCTCATAGTGTTTTGCTTGGTAGTAAGTCTAACCACAGCAGGATGAAGAGCAAGGAGCCGAACCAGCCCTGAGGAACAAACCCAAGAGCTGCCCTGGTCCTCAGCCCTGCAGGCACATCAGCACCAGCCCAGTCATGGCTGGGCCAGTGGGAAACGCCTGGTCAGCCGAGCTCCTGTCCACCTCAGAGAGCCAGAGAGGTGCAAAACCAGCCTGGAGACACCCACGAAAGGAAAGAGAAGGGCTCTTGCCTCAGCCACTCCTGCTCGGCTCAGGCTGGCCAAAGCAATCCAGAGACAGTCCAAGTAGGATGGAAGACACAAACCATTAGCTAGGTGAGAAAAGAACAGGCTGAACAGAACTCCTCAAAAGATGGCCAAATCAAGCAAAAAGACAATGGGGGAGGGGAAAAAAAGGGAATGAGTATTTTTGTTAAAGGCAGTTAACGAGTTTCCTCCCTCCCTTATTTCATTTTTCACCCCAGATTTTTTTCTTTTGCTTTAGATTAGCAGCTCCAATTCTCTGTCTTGCACTGAAGGCTGCTAATGTCAGTTCCTACACCCATCTTGCTGCTCTTCGGATGATTGTTTTTGACCTTACCTCAGGTAAGGTGCTCAAAAGCCAGCGCAGGACAGCTGCAGGATTGGTTCATGCAATGATGACTATGGACCATGTTGCTGTCCCACACTACGCTGCAGTTCACATCATCTGCTAATTCAATGAGTGTGTTCTCAATTTCAACATTGGCACCTGTTAAGGTTGAGCAGAGGCAGACCTTTGCAGACCCTCTATTCAGGATGTTTTCTGTGCTGTGAGTGGACCCGAAGGCTGCTGGTCACCCAGCCAGCCAGGCAAACCCTGACTACTTTGGACCATATCTTTGTTTTCCAGGCCATGGTGAGACAGAGCATCAAATATTTTAATGAATTGAAGGTAGGTCCTGAAATCGCTCATCCCTACTAACCCCAGGGACTTCTTGAGAAGATAACCAGCTTGTTTGACAGCATTTGCCCTTCCTCAGCCCACAGCATCTGCTGCCCATCTTGTGGATGCAGCCGGTTTCAGAAGGAAGAAGGAGGTTACGCTGTCCAAATCACAATATTCAGCCATTTCCACCTGGCCCCTCCCGTGCGCTCCGGGCCGGAGCAGGCTGGGCAGCTCGGCCGGGCACTGCCCCGTTCCGAGGAGGGCGGCTGGGCGAGGTGTGGCGCGGGCCCGCGGGGCCGAGCGCGGTGCCCGGGGCGCGGGCGGGGCCGGGCGGAGCGGCGGCGGCAGCGCGGCGCGGCAGCCGCGGTGAGTGTCCCGGGGGACGGCCGGGGCCGGGGCCGGGGCCGGGGCCGGGGCCGGGGCCGGGGCCGGGGCCGGGGCCGGGGCCGGGGCTGCTCGGGGCTCGGGGCTCGGGGCTCGGGGCTCGGGGCGCGGGGCGGGGGGCGGCGCGGGGGCCGGGCCGGGCGGGGCGGGATCGGATCCGGGCCCTGCGCGCCGCGGTCCGGCCGCGGTGGGCGCGGAGCGGCGGCGGCAGCCCGAGCCCCGAGCCCGGGCCTGGGCCTGCCCGGCGCCCGCTCCGCTCCGCCGCCCGCCCCGCAGGCCGCTCCCCCGCCGCCGCTCCTCCCGCGGGCCGCGCCGCGCCGGCTCCGCCGGGCGATGAGGAGCTGCTTCTGCCTGCGCCGGGGGAGCCGCGACCCGCCGCCCGCCACACGGGCAACAGTTAAGTGTCCCTGCCGCCGCCGGGCCGGGCCGGGCCGGGCCCGCCGCTCCCGCGGCCCCGCGGGTCGGCCCGGCGGCAGCGGCAGCGGGCGGGGGCGCTCGGTCGGCCGCGGGGCGGGAGGGGCGGGCGGGCCGAGCCCCCGGGCTGGGGCTTGTCCGGGCTGTCGGAGCCGGCCTCGCGGGGAACCGGGCCTCTGTGAGAGCCGGCGCTTCCTCCGTGAGAGCCGGCACTTCCTCCGTGAGAACCGTGAGTGGCTCCGTGAGAGCCGGGAGTGCCCCCGTGAGAGCCGGCAGTGCCTCCGAGGCTGGGCTGGCTGCAGGAACGGCCTCGGGTACCAGCCTAGGGGTACAGCCCCGGTGACCTTGAGGTGCTCCAGAATTTACTGTAAATTCTTCTTGGTGGCGGTTAGACGAGATAACAAAATCCTCCTCTGTTTCGTGTGATCTTTTGCTGCGTTTGCAGCATGGGCCTAGCTGACTGCCCTTTTCTTTCCTGTGCTCAGTGCATGGCTGGAGATGTGGCACTGCCTGACTTCTTACAGCCTGGCTGGAGCAGTGACACTGAGTTGCCTGTGTCTTAAGGACTCGTGCCTTGCATCACGGAGGCTTCCAAGCTTTCTCTGAGGTTTCTGGAGTGATTTTCAAAGGTCCACAAATCTTCAGTGTTGTCTGCAGGTTCCCAGAGCTGGGGCATTCTCAGCTTGGTCACGCTAACATTGAAACCAGACAGGCTGGGTATCAGCACATGTGTAGCTGCTGGGGCTAAAGCTTGGGTTTCTCCATTTTGTATTTTATTTTAACCGAGTGAGAACAAGCTCATCTATTCTTTAAGGGAGCCTCTGTGTTGTGCAGCATGTTGGCAGCATCATCCGTATAATTTGTAGCTGAGATGGCCTTCCCTTCTAGATGAAGGCATGACTTGACTTCTGGAGGTGTGAGATAAAACAGACAACATCTCACTCTTGTAACACGTGCATCTCTGACAAAGTGAATCCCAGGCTTAAGGGGCCAGTAGCCCTCAGGGACCTGTTCATACCCCGGCCAAGATAGAAATAACTGAACTCAATGTCATTTCAGTTTTGCTGTCCAGGTGCAAGGTCACCCATGTATGGAAACCTATTTTGGTTCGAAACAGGACACTTCATAAATATGTGTCCATAGTTAGAAGTGCTGTGAAGCAATACGTGGTCTCAATTTTGCTCATTCTGTCACTTAAGTTCCTGTTTCCATCCCATTCAGTCACAAAGTGTAGGTTCTGCAGCTGGTGCAGGGCAACTGTCTTGTAAGGGAGCCTGTGTGCAGGGGTGATTCCAGGCATGCCTTCGATGGTGGTGAAATGTGAAACTGAAATTCTTCCTGTTCGTGGTGGTGGGCTCCAAGGCCCCGATGCTGATTGCCGCTACGGGTTCCTGTTTTTCTGATGGAGACGATGTTGTGTTCCCTGATCAGAAATAGAAGGCTGGCTGGGGCCGTGTCCGGTGCGCGGGTGTGCGGGAGAGCTGTGGCAGTGGGGCTGCGGAGCTGCAGGGCTGCGTGGCTGTGGGGCTGCGTGGCTGTGGGTCAGTGTGGCTGTGGGGCAGCGTGGCTGTGGGGCAGCAGGGCTGCAGAGCTGCAGGGCAGCGCGCTGTGCCAGCAGTGCCTTCCTGCAGGGATGGAGGACAGGCCGAGTGGGCACACCAGGCTTTGAGCAGCGTGTCTGCTTGGTTTAGGGGACCATTTCCCACAGACTACAGGGACGCAATGAGGTAGTTGCTTTTTCCCAGTTTTGCCTTAGCTCATTCCTTTCTGCCTGTGGGAAGAGCAAGCCAGTGTCAAAGTGCAGGCCTTGTAGTTGGAGGAAGAAACAATAACACCATTCTCTGTCTAAGTCCCTGGCTATTTAACTTCAGAGCTTGACCTGCTTTGCTGGCAACATGATGTTTCTGTAGCAAACACATTGAAAGGCTTGATCTGGTCATGTACCCACCAGCTCTTGAACTTGCTGAACTTGTTGAAAAGGAACACTGAGAGCAGAAAATGATCTAGAAACTCACAATAACGCATTCATTTCTGAAAGCAGGTTCTTCTGCTGTATGTGTGTCCCAGCCAGAGCCCAGCAGTGTGTGTGGTCAGTCACCTCAGTGGAGCCAGCAGAAAAGTATGCCTAGGATAAACTAATAAAGGCGGATGAGCTAAGAAGGAAATGGGAGAGAGCAAGCAAAAAGGCTACAGACAGACAAACTTGGCAGTGCTGGCAGACAGGGAGGTGTGTGTTACTGTGGGCATGCGTTGTGGGAAGAAGGCTGTGCCAGAAACCAGTGGAGTCCCAGAAGGCCTCTGCTACAGCTGGGCATCAAGATCCCTGGTACACTACGCCTCCTGCCTTGAGGCATGTCTGCTTCGATGGTTGGGAAGCATTTGGGATAGAGCCAGCGGCATGGTGGCTGCTTGTCCAAGAGTGCATCCTGTCCATCTGACCTGCAGCCCTCCCACCCTGCTCTGCTGCATGCTGCTTGGGGTTGGTGCTGCCAGGATGCACAGGAACTTTCTCGCTGGAGACACATTCTTTCCCCACTGGCTTTGTCTGGGCAGCCCCACAGTGTTCCGAAGCTTCTTCCTGCCCCAGAGCTCACATCCGGCTTCCTTTGGCTGCTGGGGTGTGCTGGGGACTGGATGCGGCCCCACAGCTGAGAACAGCTTCCAGGGAGCATGCTCCCAGCTAAAGGGAAAAATGTTCTTCTCATTGTTTTGCCCTGTTCCCGGAATAGCCCTGCAGTGAGCTAGGCACAGGCGGCTTACTGCAGGATGCTGATGGGCCATATCCTGGGCTGAGTGCTGGAGGTGGGCACTATGCAGGTCAAACTCACATTGCTAAAGAAAATTAAAATAACAAACTGCCTAACAGAAGTATTTATAGAATCCCGCTCCTTAATTTAATCTCCTCTTTGAGTGTTTATTTTTTTCATTTTTAAGTTAAAAGGTGCAATTGAAGAGAAACCAAACTTTGTTGACGCTCTTGCGGAGAAGTGCAGTGTAACTAATCGTCTGTGTGATTGCCCAGCTAGAGACTCCCCTCTGACCTTTGCAGAGTTCACAAAAACATTTATCCCAGTGTGCAACTGACTTCTGCTGCTCCATATCTGTTCCAGATGCATCCTCAGTGCCGCCTGCACAGCAGGCAGCTGCCCAGAGTGGCTGCCTGGTGTGGCGGAGGCTGGCCATGCTGCAGTGGCCACAGCAGGTTTGCTTGCTGGGCAGGTGCTGTGCCTGCCATCCCTGTCGGCTGCAGGCCCGGGGCAGAGGAAGGTGCTGGGCTCGCTGGGCAGGGGCAGCTTGGTGGCCCTTGCTGCAGCAGGTGCTGTGGCACATTCCCCCACGGCATCCACCACGGCTGGGCAGAGAGCCCCACGGCCAAGCAGAGAGCCCCACGGCCAGGAGGATGGCCCCATGGCCAGGCAGAGAGCCCCACAGCCAGGACAGCCCTGCGGACAACCCCATGGCCAGGAGAACAGCCCCACAGCCAGGCAGAGAGCCCCACGGCCAGGCAGAGATCCCTACGTCCGGGCAGAGATCCCCACAGCCAGGCAGACAGCCCCACAGCCAGCGCTGCCGCCATAGAGGGGCTTTGTGTGAGCCGGCACAAAGTGAGGATTGATGCTGTTTCCCCTCCCCCTGCCGTGCAAGCTGGGCTGCAAATGGCTCCCACAAAGGTGCCCTTCTTCCTTCGCTGAGGACAGGGTGCCCGCGGGCTGAGGGGGAGGCAGCACACTGCGGGTTGGAGCACCCACCCACCCTCCTTCAGTGCTGGTGCCCCGGGCCCCCTCGTCCTCAGCCTTGCCCGGGCCGAGCTGGCAGCTGCTCGGGTTCCTGCAGGGCAGCTGGGCCTCCCTGCAGCGGGCCCCAGCGTGGTGAGATGGGCCCCAGCATGGTGAGATGGGCCCCAGCGTGGTGAGATGGGCCCCAGCGTGGTGAGACGGGCCCCAGCGTGGTGAGACGGGCCTGGGCAGTGCTCACACCAGGCACCTCATCAGGGTGTGTGTGGTGGAGGCTGCAGACCGTGTGAGCAGATCTGCTTCCCTGCAGCGCCGCTGCAGCTGTGTGGGAACCTGCTGTGTGTGTTCTTAACGTGCTGGGGAATATCATCACCTTACCTGGATTTCAGTTCAAAATGGCCTAAGAGAAGCTTACGTCAGCATTCATTACCTCCCAGCTCCTCCCAATACATAGTAAGAAGTCACCACACTATTGAGTGACTTGAAGTTTCAGAAAATGTTCATGAAGAACAGATTGTAAGCGCTTTGTTAAATTCATGTTACGTTTCTTCCATGCTGTATGTTTGAGGTTCTGCATTATTTGCGAGGCCTCTGGATGAGCTGTGGGGTGGCACAGGCGTTGGCACAGGGTCTGTCATGGCTGTGCCAGTGCCTCCAGCATTCCTGCAGCAGCATCCTGTGCTCCTCGCCCACCCTGAGGACAGGGAGCCCGCTGGGAGAGGAGGGTGAGCCCCTGGGGCTCAGGCTGCACTCACCATCATGCTCCAAGGTTGGAGCTGCTTTGGGAGTGAAGAGGGTACGCTTTGTTCTGTGTGCTGGATGCGTGTCCAGCACACTGGTGCTAAAGCAGAGCTCTCTCCTGTTTGGTTCATCAGCAATAGTGTTTGCGCAATTACTGGTCACTAGCACCTCTTTTGGACTCCTCAAGTAGTCTAGCTGTTCGTGTGACATTATTATTATTTACTTAGGGTCCAGACTTGCTCTTTTTTATTGCCTGCAGCACGATGTTTGTTCAGACTTGGCATTGTGAAGTGTAAACCCAGGTCCCACTGGCACCAGTACTCACCTCTGCCTTTCTAGAAGCAGTAAGTAACCAGCCATCTAGATGGCCTAGAAATGCTGGGGTTTGATTGCTCTGAGGAGGGAATTGAATTAGGCAGCTCTGGTTCACAGCTTGTCTGGCTCTGCAGCAGTGATGCTTGTTTACACAAAGCACTGCCCTTTGTCTTGGGGTGCGTGGGTGGCAGATTCCTGGGGCATTCCTGCCTGAAAGCCAGAGAAGACTTGCTTTAACTGGCTGCCTCTGCAGGAGACCACATGCTGAGGCAGTGGCACCTTTCCCCATCCTTCACCTCAGTTGTTTCAGCCCCTTTCTTGTCCTCTCCTCCTGCTTCCTGCAGCAGCATCCCTCCAAAATTAGTTGGTCTTACCTGCTTCTGTCCTTTTTGCATATCTCCCTCCCTTGACCTTCTCGGTGGTGTGTCTCTTCTGGAAGATGCTCAGGCCTCCTCAAGGCCTCTCTGCTTTGTGCCAGCCCACCCTGTGCTTCCTCTGTGTTCCCTGGTGTGGAGGCTCCCTGCAGCCAGTGCGGTCCTGCATCCAGCGCCAGAGACATCTGTGCTGCTCCCTGAAATCAGTCTGGCTGGGGGGCTGTGATGGGACTGAGGACTCATGGGGGAACCCCCAGCATGTCTTAACACCCATAGTGGATGGGGAACCTCCCACTAAAGCCATTAGGAGCAGATTTCTTGCTGTTTAAAATGACAGAGCTGCTTCAACCAACCTGACTTGGGGATGAAATTTGTTTTCGTTTTGGAAGAGAAGGGATTTAGCTTTGGTTTTCCTGTCATTGCTAGATGGAGACCAGCCCACGGAAGCAACAAAATGAGTCTCAGAGGCTGCCAGCCCAAATTTCAAATCTATTTGGCATTGTACAAGTATACCCTCTTATCAAAAGCAAATGAAAGTGCAGAAGGTGTGTCTGGCCTAATCCTGTGTTTACCTTGCCGTCTGTGGTGTGTCAGCACAGGCACTGTGGCATGCATGTGTGCTCTTGGTTCTCTGGCTTCTGCTGGGGTGTGGTGCCCAGCAGCCCTTTAATTCTGCTCCTTTCTTGCAGGATCAGTCCATGATGCCTGAGGTGCGAGACCTCACCGATGCCCTGCCCGACCTGCCGATGGATCCCATCACGGGTGTTGGCGTGCTGGCGTCCCGCAGCCGCGCGCCCACTGGATATGACGTTGTAAGTAGGGCTGTTTGAGGATGACCTTGTAAGTAGAGCTGTTGGAGTATGACGTTGTAAGTAGGGCTGTTTGGGTGTGACATCGTAAGTAGGGCTGTTTGAGTGTGATGTTGTGAGTAGGGCTGTTTGAGTGTGACGTCGTAAGTAGGGCTGTTTGAGTGTGACGTCGTAAGTAGGGCTGTTTGAGCTGCTGCAGTTCATGCTTTGGTTCCACACTAACGAGGCTTTGCTTTGTTGGGAGCAGCATCTCTTCCAGAGAGGACATGTCTTTGAGCTGTGCTGTGAGGAGTCATTTGGTAGCCAGCTGCCCACCTTCCAGCCCACAGCACTTAGAGCTTTACTTCAGCTGAGGGCTGTGGGTGCAAATGTTCCACTTCATCTCTGCCACTCCAGAGGAGCTTAATTTCCTAGAGAAGGGGTTTACTGAAACAGCTGGCCACTATGGCAAGCAAATTTAATAATCCTAGTAACATTCATCCTGAAGGAGTCCTAAGTATTGTACAAATTATATCTCTAAATAAATGGATCCCGCATCAGCTGTTTAATCCCACATATTAGCACTGCACAATGATGATGAGAAGCTCCAGAAAGGGAATCAAAGAGTTTTGCATCCAGCTGAAATTGCAAGGATGATTTTGACAGGCAGAATGCAAACCTCTAAACTAAGGTTTGGCAGGAGACTGGCAGCAGGAAAAGGCACCTGGGTACAGCATAGATGAATGTGTGAACAGATAAAGGGAGGTCGCTGTTCAACAGCTGCTTGTTCCTTGGATTAGTTGCTGTGAGAGCAACAGCAGGATGTTTCTACTCATAGATCAGTGAACCAAACTGTGAAATATAAAATACTGACCTTGCAGAGATGTACAGAGAAAGATTTGGTCTGTAGTTCATCTGCTTGCCTTTCTATGTGTCCTGCTGCAACTGTGCTACATCACACCGTGGGTTTCCAGGGCTGCACAGCTTGTGTGGTAGGAGTGGAAGCCAGCTGACTGGAGGCTTTGCTCATGCCTCTTCAGCTCTGGATGATTTCATACCTTGTTCAGTGTGAAGAAGGAAAATGGATCAGGCTGAAGTAAGGACACAACGGGGGCGTTGTGAAAAGGCTCCTTAAAGACCTGGGAGGTTTTTACATTTACTGTGTTTTTCCAAGTGCTCATTACCTGTGTGAGCCAGGCTGTGTAATTAGCTGCTTGCCCTGATAAAGAAGCACGGGACAGTGTGAGACTTCTGATAACAGAATTGCATTTTGCCTAAATGGCTGGGCAGAGAGCACGCTCACCCCAGATAGCCTGCCTGTGGCTTAATGGGGAGTTGCAGCACTAACGCAGTTTAAACTAAACAAGATAAAAGAGTCTTCCTGTGGCGTAATCCAATTATGGTGGTGGTGTAATGCTGGTGAATGTGGGTCGCTGTCTCCTCAGGGCACAGTGAGGAGCTGCCTTTGCTCTGGCTCTGCTGCCTCACTGTCTGTTCACAAGGAGCACTGCCCTTGGAGCGGGCGTGGGGCAGTGCCTGCTCTTGTGCTGTCCTCCCCCAGCACGGCTGCCGCGTCGGTTTACCACGTCAGCAGTGTGCCTGGGTGCTGCCAGCCACCCTTGGTGTCCTGTCCCCCATGCAGCACCTGATGTGACAGGGGACAGTGGCACGCACGAGTGTGCCTGGGTGTTTGTGAAGGTGGCTGGTCTGTGAGTCAGTGCACTGGAGCATTCTGTGGTGTGCCGGGTTGCCACTTCTCTGTGACTTCTCTGGAACCTGGTCTGGTCTCCCAAAAGTATGAAGCTGAATGTGCACAAGTGCAGTGCTCAGCGCAGCAGAGAAATCGTGTTCTGAGACATGGGCAATGTGCAGACTTGGGTGGTCTTGGGGTCTGTGTTTCTGCAATTCCCTTAATGAGGCACTGGCAGCTGATTGCTGTAAAGCCTTGAGAAAGGCAGCTGTGGCAGCTGCATCCCAGAAGTGTGCTCCTTAGAGCCCTCATAGTAAGAGGTGCACACTGCACCTTGGAAAGGACCACACTCATCTTTTGGGATGTATTAACAGCAGTGTTTCTTGGGATGTTGTAGTCTCCTTAGGGATCCAATGGCTTTGTGTGTCACTACTGCATCTTGCAGCATTCAGTTCTTCAGGTGGATTCAGAGTTGCATGGGAAAGTATTTCCTCATGTAGTTTCTGATGGTTTCAAGTTTTTCATTTATAGGCTTTACCAGTTTTCCTCTCATTTTTATCCTTCTTCAATTAACAACTTCATTTTCCCTTTTGTTCTCTTTTAAAGAAATCTCCAGGAGCATGGTTGCTTCATCCCAGGTGTAAATGAAATGCCTAGAGATGTCCAGGTCCATTTCCCATGTTCACATGGAGCCTCAGGGCTCAGCCTCCTGCCCAGCTGGAGATGGCAGGCAGCAGTGCCTGGGGGGATGTCTTGGCAAATGGAACAGAGGCCTTTTTTCCTTTGTGGTACTTTAGTTGCTCCATAATCTCTATTGCCTTTGTGTCTGCTTGGAAAACAAATGCACTGCTGGCACTTGGAATACCTGCCCAGGTCTTTTCACAGCAAAAACACCAAAGACTTGATTTTGCCAAAATATGCAGAATGTGTCTGAACTTAGATTCCTGAAAATCCAACCAAACTGGCAAGACGGAGTGTCTGGGCGGGGAGGAGAGGTGGGAGGCAGCAGCCTGGGACAGGAGGGAGGTGTGGCTCCTGTGCAGCTGTGTTCTTGGCTGCAGGCTGAACACCAGCTCCGTGGTGGGGTTTGCTCTGGGGCAGTGCCTGAGCAAGCTGCAGACCCAGCAGGAACAGCCCTGCCTTTGCCAGAGGGGCAGAGCAGCCTGTGGGGCAGGAGGTTTAAAGGACCTGCTTGCCAAGACCTGACTGGGTGGCAGTAATCCCGTTCTGACTGCTGTGCAGAGTGGATCACCCTGGACGTACTGGGGTGTCACTTCCTTAGCGGGTGGCACTTTGTCAAGTCCATCTGTCTGTGTCTCCCCACAGCCTCGTGAGGAGAAGGACCATTTCTTGTGCCCGGGGCACTGTGTGCTCAGTGCCAGGTGCCAGATCCTCTGTCTCGCACGTTCCTTGCCTCTCGGCCAAGGAAAGACTGGGCAAGCTGGGGCTCTGGAGTGCCTGTCCCGCTGGCCAGGTCTGCTGTGGCCTTTCCCACTTGGCTCCTGGCCTGAGGGCATGCTGATCAGGCACAGCTCTGCTTTGACGTTTGCTGGGGCTTCTTGCTTGCAGGAGCCCAGCAGGTGATGCAAGAAGTTTCCTGTTTATAAGACTCTGTTTTCTTTCCCCGTGTGTTTTCTAACAAGTTCATTCATGCTTACATTCTCCTGGCTTGGAGTTCAAGCTGACCATCCCTATATGCCAGCAGTTTTCCCAGACAGACGGTTTCCTGAATATTTTTTCACCAGGATTGACTTACCCATCACAGAGGAAGATGCATGTAGATTTAACATACTCCTAAACTATCAGTTCAGGAAAGATTTGAATTCAAGGAATTCAAATAAGCAAAAAATTTCACCAAAATCCTATTCTAAAATGTGTCTGTTTAAAAATCAGGCATGTTTCTTTGTAGAGCTGAACACAAAAGCTGTGTGTGTTGTACAATGGCTTGACCTGAGCTGGGGCTTGTGAGCAGCAGTTGCCAAAATTCAGGGAGCAGTCAGTGCACTTTGCTGCTTTGATCAGACTGTCTCTTGTCTATCTGCTGCACTCGGGGTAATTGGAGGCCGTGTCAGCACACAGCTCTTGCTTCCTGTGCGCAGTCTCTGCTCAACTAAACAAGGGTGCAGAAGTGACAAGTGTCAGCTCTTTGTTCTCAGGCTGCTCTTCTCTGGGGCCAAGGGCTCACTCGGTGTGATTACAGGAGCCACCATGGAGCAGTTTGCCCCATCTGAGAGGCATCAGGCAGAAGTTCAGCTTCTCTGGAGCTTCACACCACCCTGGAGTCTCCTGCTGGAGATGCCACTGGGTGTTAGTCTGATGGGGTAATCTTGTTTCTTCTACCCTTCTTGTGTTTGCCTTCTTGCCTCCTCTCTTACTCAACAACAAACATTTTGGGGCCAGGGCTCTTACCAGCTTGCTTTGTGTGTAGTGAGTGCTCAGCTGCTGAGAGTAGAGCCCGTCTCCAGTGCATGGTGCTGCCTCCTGCCCACTCCTTGAGTCAGCTGGAAGTGAGATATTCTCACGCACATCATGCTGTCTCCTGTGGAGGATCCAGGGTCTGTTTCCTTGCCCAGCATCATCATGTGATATCAGTTTGGCTGGATGCGGGGTTGCATTGGAGAGGGACATTTGCAGGGTGTGTCCTCGCATGCAACACTGGTGCTAAAATCCACCAGTGACCAAGGATTCCCCAACCTGCTTGGAAGCAGCTTTTTGACCTGGGAGTCAGAATTCCTTGATGGCTTTCCATCGAAATAGTGAAATAGTCCTGAGATGGGTCAGTTTCTCTGCTCTGTCTTCATGGGCGCTCGCAGCATGCCCGGTGTGCACTTGTGTGTAGGGTGGTAATGAATGCCTCAATGTGCTGACTTTTCCAAACTATTCTTTGGAGACTGTAACTGGAGTTGCAGTTTCCTCATTAGAGTAGCCTTTGTCAGAGCATCTTTAATCAAGGGTCTCCTGAGAGACAGCATTTTTAGAACTTCTTTTTATACCTCCTGTTGAAAGTTCTTTGCACTGCACTTTGTGAAGAAACTAATGAGATGCTGTGAAAATTTGGGCTGCTGTTAATTAGAAGAGGTCTGAGGAAGAAGTACTTCTGTATTAACTTTATCTTGGCTCACATGTCTCCTCTCTCCCTCTGTCTCTTCTTTGCAGGTTGCACAAACAGCAGATGGCTTGGATGCTGACCTGTGGAAAGATGGCTTGTTTAAATCCAAGGTCACTCGGTACCTGTGCTTCACCAGATCATTTTCGAAAGAAAACGTAAGTCCATTTGTTGAGTGCCTGCCTGATTTGTATCTGTGCCTGGTATGTGCTTACCCATATGATGATTCATTTTATGCAGCCAATTATAATTCAAGCAGGCGTTCTGCTGAGTTCGGGTGAGTAAGGAGGCAAAGTGCAATGGCAGAATATTTGCATTTTGTGTGTGTTTCTCATGGAAAGAAATTGCTGACAAAATCTTCTGCAATAAAAGAAGCACAAAAGGGAGCCTTTGCATTTTAGCAGCCTCTCGCCCTCATTACCTGCTGCAGCAATGGGTGCTGCACACTCATGGTCCTGATTGATGTCTAACCCAAATTCCTCAAGAAAAACAATGTAGGTAGTGGTGGTGAAGGAAATGTTGATTTATTAATCCAGGGGCATCACAGATATTTTATTGTGGGATTAGCTTGCTTTCTTTGTTGGTTTTGCTGCTGATTCTTGAAAATGTGCCCACGTTGTGCATATGCTATCACATTCTTGTAATCTGGTCTGACTATTAAGTATGAGTTACTTCGTGATTAGCAGCAGTTGTCTGCCCACACTTTCTGTGGAGGAGAGGAGACTGTGTGCAGCAAGAGCTTAATGCATTCTGCTCTGGTTTTGGTTGAGGCTACTGTGAAAACTTTATTTTTCTGGAGGAACTGTTGACTTCTGCAATGAATGCACTCCATCTAGTGGGTAATCCTGCTTTTGGTCGCGCTTTGGATATTGTCAGCCACTCAACTGGCCGGCTCTGCAAGTACCATTTTGTACTTGTGCTTGCACCGTGGCAGGAGCAGAAAGGTGCTGGCAGCTTCAGGGGCTGCTCACAGGTCCTGGCAGTAGAGCTGGGGGGTGCCAGTTCCCAGCGTTTGACCTTTACTCTGTCTGCTTCCCTGCCTGTGTCTAGATGAAAGTAAAGCTCCAGAGCTATGGGAAATATCACTTCCCAGGGTGGATGGATAATAATTGTGCTTTTCATCCTGAAGTATGTGCAGGTGCAGGAATAGCAGCCCTGGAACAGGCAGGAAGGCTGTTAAATAGCTTTGTGCTGATTCGAGTATTAGGTTTATCTGTAGCTGCCTGAAATGTGAACTTGTCAGAAATAATTGTAGGACAGGAGCAGCTCTTGGCTGCAGAGTTGGTGTAAATACCCTCAGGCGGTGCCTGTTGGACTTTTGGCAGGAACCCTGGGGTCACCATGGTTTGGGAGTGCCTTCTTCATATTGATGAGGCATAAATTAAAGCAAAAGTTTCCCCTTCCCTCAGTCCTCTTGGCCATGTGGGATATATGATGTGCTTCCCTGTTGGGGGCATCTGTGGGCTAAGGGGCCTTGGTTCCCTCATCTGGGAGGAGGAGAGGTGAGAGGCTCCTCTCTCACCCCTGGACACTGATCTGTCGCTGCACTTTGGGCTGGAAGTTTTACCATTTGGGGATTCCTTTTGTGTTTATCAAAACACTGGGAACTGTTTTCTCCTGAAGAGCAATGTTGTAGTTAGTAGAGTTAATGTACTTCAGGTACCTGGGTTGGAGCAGAGCCGGTCTGCAGTGCCTGTTTAGCAGAATCATCATTCTCAACAGTTTACAGCATCTGACATTGCTGTATCTGAGCGTGGGGAGTTCCTGGATGGTGGGTCTCACAGGCTGGGGGGCTCTGTCCCCTTTTCTGCTGTGCACGTGGCAGAGCTGACCCCCAGGGTTCCAGGGAGCTCACTGGAGACACCTCTGCTGCTGCTGACTGAGGAGTGATCGGTGGTTCAGCAGAAAGTTGCCACTGATGTAACACAGACAGCTGAAATAAATAAAACATGAAAGATGAATCAGCAGCAACTACTTTGTCTGCTGTGTGCTGTGCCAGGACCATGTTAACTGACACATTCAGGCTTGGCAGCATCCAGCATCGCTTGCTCCAGGATTCCCTGGCCATGGGCGGTCAGGGGCTGCCTGGCTTTGACCTCTTCACATGATCAGAGGATGTGTGACACACTTGTGTCTGGTGGGACAGGGCTGCAGGTCTGCTGACCCTTCTGGTCAGGAGCTGACATAAAATGCAGAACCTCCCAAAAATAAACTCGCACCTGACCTCCCCTTATTTCAGAGCCTGCAAATTTAAATATTTTGTAAGAAGTTCAGTGAAATAAGCTGAGAGTACAGGTTTGTCTGAAAAACTCTTGCCAGATAAAAACTAAAGGAGGTACTTTGCAGCCAGTAACAGTAAAACTCAGTGACACAGTTTGATAGCTTGGGATTAAATTTTAATTGTTCTTTGTTGTGTTTCTGTTTATAAAGGCTGTGCAGTACCTAAAATGTGTTCTTTCATGTGACCCGAGATTATTGGCAGCAGTGGTGGTTTTATCAAAAACCAGAAAGAAAACCTGGTCTCTAAACCATTGTGGAGGCTGTCACTCTGAATTGGGCTCTGAGCTCTTCAAGCCTTGATTAATAAGACAAGGCATGAGTTCAGAATTCATATGGACTCTAAATGAAGTTTGTTGTTCCAAATGGCCTGTGCTTCTGGAGTGTGCTGCATTTGGAGCTAGAACCCTGTCTATTCAGTACTAATTAGCTAATGCATGTAATAACTTTGGCTCCGTGTGCATAAGCCATCATCCAGTAGTGCTTTTTGCTGTTACAGTCATGGAAATGTCATGTTGCTCTTGTAAATGGAGAGTGTGTAAGAACTGAGGCGACCTTCTCAGCGGATGGGTTGGTGAAAGTAGTACTTTGAGCTGCTGCACCTGCAAAAAGAAGAATTTGGCTGTGCTTCCAAAGATCTGGAAGTGTGGCACTGGGTGAGGTGTTAGAATTTTAAATGCTGAAAGTTGTCTGGTATCTCCTAGTCAGTATGGTTTGGTTCCTGCTGAGAGGACACGTCGAAGGGTTGCCTTGGTATGTTCTTACCATTTCTAAAGTTGTGCTCAGATACAATGACAAGGCATCTCAGGCTTCAGCAGGTGGGAAGATCTGGGGTTTAATTTGGTGACATTGTCATAATCAGCTGTTTCTTTTCTCTCTCCAAAGAGCCATTTAGGCAATGTCTTGGTCGACATGAAGCTCATTGATATCAAGGACACTTTACCTGTAGGCTTCATGCCCATCCAGGAGACCATTGATACACGTAAGTTGGCATCTATTCCTCAGTCCCACTCTGCCAGTGCTTGTGTGGCCAGGCCATGGAGGGCCGTGTCCCAGGCCATGGAGGGCCGTGTCCCTGGCCATGGAGGGCCCTGTCCCAGGCCGTGGAGGGCCATGTCCCAGGCCATGGAGGGCCGTGTCCCTGGCCATGGAGGGCCCTGTCCCAGGCCGTGGAGGGCCATGTCCCAGGCCATGGAGGGCCGTGTCCCTGGCCATGGAGGGCCCTGTCCCAGGCCGTGGAGGGCCATGTCCCAGGCCATGGAGGGCCGTGTCCCTGGCCATGGAGGGCCGTGTCCCAGGCCGTGGAGCGTTGTGTCCCTGGCAGAGGGTTGCTCCCAGCACTTCTGCTCTCTGGGATGGTATGTGCACCTTTTGAGGCAGCTCTGGGCTGCAATAAAACAGCCTTTGGTTTTCTTGTCCTCCTTAGGCTGTTTGATGGGGCTGCCTGTCTGTCTTCACTCACCTGCTAGAGTCCCATGTCTCTGGGGCAGGAAGGGAGAGTTTCTTTTTTCAGTCTGAAGAGTGGACTGGACCTGGCAGAAGCAGAGCTGCTGTGCCAAGGGGTGTTCAGAAATGCACTGAAATGAAGGGGGTATGGGTTTGTGCTGCCCACTGTACATCTCCTGCTGTGGGAGCAAAGGGCTCCTATCCTGCCAGGAAGTACTGAGGGGTGTCAGCTATGTTTGTGCTTGCTGACACGAGGCACAGGTGCCGTGTACAGGGGAATATCATGCTCATTTCTGCAAGGTAGAATAGCTTCACTGCAACATGTAAGTGAGCAGCTCCCAAACAGTGTGTTCAGCTCCCCTGGGACCTGTGCCAGCAGCAGCTGGAGCCACGTCTGGTGGCAGGCCTGTGTTGTGCAGCAGGCACTGGGGGCACTGGGCTGGCAGGGGACAAGCCCCGTGGGAGGATGGCAGGACTGGTGCTGGTGCCTGGTGCGCAGCTGCTCCTCACAGAAGGGCTGCTCACAGTGCATGTCAGTGATGAAATCCAGCCCAGGAATGAGCAGGAAGGGCTTACATGAGCCTGCCTTGCAGGGAATCATTCATCTGGGGCCACAGCACGTGAGGATGCTTTTTCAGTCACTGTGATCTGGTTCTGATTGGAACCTGTGGCCTGGAAGGGAAAGACTCTGAAAACTGTTCTCCCAGGTCACCCTCTGCTTCTGGAAAATTCCTGGGCACGTGTCATGTGAGGTAGATTTGTTGGCTTATCTTGCCAACAAGCAAGGAGTTATCTTGGGAGTGCTGGACCTTACTGTGTGCTGCTTCAACTTCTGTGCAGGTCCTGGTGGAAAGGTGGAAGGGGGCTTTGTCATTATTTTGAAGTGCACTGGGTTGTGACTGTGATGTCTTTAAAGCAGAGGCACTGCCTGTACTAAGGAAATGGTGAGAAAGAGAACATAGACAAAAGCAAGTAGTCAGCTTTGTACTTGCAAAGAAAGTCAAATAAGAGGCACTGATTTTGTTCAGAGTTAGATTTGTGTTAACAGGTGTCTCTGTGCTCCTCTCAAAATGGCAACTAGTTCACAGTTAATACATTGAATACAGCACTCCTTAGTAGGTCTTGAGAATTTTGTCAGAAAGCCTTAAATCCTAGACTCCTAAGATGAGTTTTAGGTACTTCAGACAGAAGCCCTACTTTTTCAAGCAGGGGAAGACTAGACTTCAGGGATGCAGGTATTTACCATCTCTAAACACAGCACTGTAACTGCAAGCTGCATGCACAGATGCTCTATTGGCACACCTCACACTGTCTGTATGGTTATTTGTGCTTGTGCAGCAGCACACTTCAGAGGCTGGAATGGATTGCTGTTTCCCAAGGTGTGGATTACGAAACAGGAGGAGCCTATGGAGACAGGGCTGCTTGCCATCTGTTGAAGTGACAGCATATTTTAAGTTGGGAGATATTTGTTCACATTAAGATGAAGGGTTTTTATTTTGCAGGCACTTGTTTGTAGTTGCTGGTTGTTTCCAGATTTTCATTCAGCGTCTGCTCTTCAGATTTTCAGTATATCAGTGGGCTTCTGTCCTGCTTTCCAAGTGCCTGCATCCAAACAGGAACCTCACCTTGCTCACCCTGAGACTCCTTAGGGTGAGGTGGAGCACTGCAAATCTGTGTCTGCGTGCCAGTGCCAGGCACTGCGGTCACAGACAGCATCAGCCCTGGCTGTGGATTGTGTCTGCGTGCTGATAAACAGCCTAAAGATCTGTGAATTCATTATACAGATAATCCTTAGCTGTGATGGGCTTGAGTTTTTCACCGTGGATAGCATGGAAACAATTGCTCTGTGACACGTAGCAGAAAGGGCTGTGCAGTGTGTTCATCCACCCTCAGAGCACAGGCCAGAGCAGCGCAGCTGCCTCGTGGGAGGTTCTGGCAGTTACTGCTTTGTAAATCTGGTTTGTCCTTGCAAAGAACTGGGGCATACATGGTGGGAGTATCATTTCTGTGCCTGCTGACTTGATCAGGAGATGTCACTAACACTTGGGATGTGTGAGATGTGGACAGACAGCTCTTACACTCAATCTCCCTGCATGGCAGGCTCTGCCTGCTCCTCCTCACAGTGGGTTGGAAGTGGCTGGTTGGAAGCACGTAGCAGAATGAACTGACTGGTTGTATCAGAAGCTTCCAGGTAGTTCCTAGAGGCAGTGCTTGTGGGAGGAATGTTTAGATATGGCTGTCCAGGCCAGTGAGGCAAACATTACCTGGGAAAGAGCAAGGGAGTGCGAGAGGCATGTGGAACTGGCAGAGTCACCTGCTGTTCTGTGCTGTGGGGCAGCACCAGGCACACGTGGGAGCTGATCTCTGCAGCAGGCAGGAGGAGAGCTGCTTATTGCAGTGCCAATAGCACATCTGATAGAACATTCCCCTCTGAATGGCACTGCACTGACTCGTTTGTTGACATATGTCTGTTCTTTGGCACCAGTTCTGCCATAATTACCTGTCTAATACCTGGAGAGACTATAAATAACATTTATACTCTAATCTTGCATGAACACCACCCTGTATTCTGGGTTGTTTTTGCAGAAGAAGTAGCTTTCAGAAAGAAGAGGCTATGCATAAAATTCATCCCTCGAGATTCCACAGAGGCAGCGATCTGCGATATCCGAATCCTGGGGAGATCCAAGCAAGCCCCTCCGCAGTACACGTTCATAGGGTAAGTACCCCTCACTCCCAAGCTGTTGTCAGCAATGCAGTTATACCAAAGCAAGGGCCCCGTGCTCCTCTAATTACCAAGTAGCAGCTTGTAAGAGGTGAAGCTTATCGTTGGGAGAGTCCAAGTAAGTACGAGTGTTACCGAGTTTGATGTAGGAATTAACTCGCCCCTCCTTTTTTTAATTGCACTTGTTCTCACTGACCGAGGTGTGGTGGAACACGTCAGGGCCTGGTGCTGGTGCGTGCGTGCAGTCAGCACTGGTGCTGTGTGTTGTTTCCCAGGGAGCTGAACAGCATGGGTATCTGGTATCGGATGGGCAGAGTGCCACGCAACCACGACTCCGCACAGCCTGCAGCTCCTCCCGCCCAAGCACCAGCTTCAACGTCCGCTCCCAACCTGCCAAGGTAGGTTTTCTGCATTCCAGCTCCTTCTGCTTGATGCTGCATGTCTTGTGGTTACTAACCTTGCCTGGGAAACCAAGACCAGGGTGCTGCACCGGCATGGAATGATTGTGTCACCATCTGATAAGGGAATGTGCTGTTCGTGTAAGTATTTGCCTGCTGGAAGTTCCTTTGCCTGTTGTGTAAAGAAAAGTGGGTGAAGAATGCAGAAGAAAGGAAGTGCCTGCAGAGGAAGGGAAACAGCAAACTGTACCTTTCCTTGGCTTTAAATGATGCAGGATAGTGTAGCTTCCAACACATACCCTCAGAAGTGTGAGCCAGAGCTGCAGCCAGGCCGATTGTTCTCCTTAACCAGAGGGAGGGAGAAGTGCCTCTACAGACTTCAGAAGGGAAACAGGTTTTGCTCATCTCCAGGCTCAGTCTGTTCATGGTTTGAAGTACTGGTTCTTGGTTTTTTATTTTCCTGAGCCCAGTTGCTGAGCTCCAGTTATGCAGCTGACATGAGTGTGCACAGCAGCCTGCTCATCTTGTGGTGACTGATGGGAGCAGCACTGCTGGGCTGCAGTGTCTGTCCAGGCTGTTCTCCCTGTGTTACAGGCAATATTTCTGTGTGTGTATCAACAGATGTGCTAGTGTGTAGACTTTCATATACCAGTAGTGCTGTACTGGCAGCTTACTTGCTGGATTTCTTTGGATAAAAAGAGGTGTTGTTAAGCAACAAAGCAGCCCAGACAGTGATGAAGCTGAGAACTTTGCACTCCTGACATTCCCTATGAAAGCACAGCTTTCACCCAGTGTGAATTGTGCTCCTGCTGCTGAGACTCACAGACTGGGCCAGGCTGTTGCCAGGGGACAGCACATTCTCCTTGGGTCCCTTTGTGCTTTTGCCTATTTTGTGTACATGTATTTTTTCACTAGGCATTTTCTACACTGCAGATACCTTTACAATATTGCAGTAACTAGTGAGAGCTAGAGTTTGGAAGGAGACAGCAGAGAGGAGTTCCAAGGTCCATTTTGTGTACAAAGGTCATTGTATCACATGGGTGGAATCTGCTTATGTCCTTTAGAGTCTTGATTTACAGGTCATTTCAGAGTTACACTTTTAAACTGCTGCAGCATGTTCCCCAGAAAGCGATCAGATACCTCCTTAAAGCAGGTGTGTACATTTGAGCCTTCACCCATGACCCAGACTGAAATCCACTGTCCTGAGGTGGCTCTTTGAGGTCTCCAAAGCATTTGGGTGTTTCTTTCACTGAGAGTTTTGCTTGGTAAGCTGCCATGCCCTGGCACAGTGCTTGCTGTCGTGCACTGTCAGGTGTGCTGCAGGCAGACATGCTGTCATGCTTCTCAGAGATGGAGGCAAAAGAAGTGAAAAGCCAGCAGTTTTCTTGAGATTCCAGTCTGTCCCACTAGGACCTGAGATGTTATCCTGAAGCTCTGCTGGACATAAGCTACATGCCAGTCCAGGCCATGGGAGATCAGAGAGAAAGATGTCTTTATTTTAGAGCACAGATCTTCATTTTCTTTCTGCAAGAAGTTCTGTCTGGGCAGATTTCCACAATAAAGGAAAAAAAAAATTATCATAGCAAGAGAATGTTGATGGGAATGCTTAATCACTGAATGTGGAAGGGTCACTTTTTAGCTGACCAGGGAAGGCTGCAGAGCAGTGGCAGAGCTGTTTGGAACAAGGCCAAAATTACAGCTCAAAGCATCAGTGACAGTCTGAAAAGAAGTGTTTACAAGGCTTATATATTTTATAACCTCTTGTTGTGCAGTTTATGGTTTACAATGGCTGCAAGGAAATTGGATCAGTTTTGTTTTACTTGCCAAATAAAGCAAATGTCAAAATAGTCAATATAAAATGTATTCTAATTTGGCTGAGTTAAACCAGCCAGTATGCAGTGGAATAATTGAATGTTACATTAATGCCTTGTAGTAAAACCCACCTGTCTGTAGCCAGCTCCACTCTCACACCCCATGTGTGATTTACAGGTAACTTTTACACCACCAGCCTGATCATTCAAAGCATCTTTCATGTCTGTTTTTTTACTCTGGTTATTTATTATCCAATATATGTTTTAAGAAATAGAAATGTATATAAAGGTGCATCCTGCAAATATTTAATTATTACAGGGAACACAGACAACTTGAAGGCCTCTTGTAACACTGTCAGCAATGTGGTGAGTTACTCAACACAGTGTTTGTGAAAGACTGTAGTCACAAGCGATCCCTGATTTTCATGTCACCATAGAGAGAGGAGGTTATACTGGCAGCCAGTGTGCAGTTTTATTCCATGTGGATGTATCCTGACAGGAACAGCAGTGATTGTTCTGGAGCTGCCTCAGCAGTGAGGAAGCATTGGTGAGCAGTGCTGCACGGAATACTGTGGAGGGTCTGCTGTTGGGCTGGTCAGGTACCTCAGCTGCTCTCTTCAGCTGTGTCTGCATTACAGAATAATTCTGAATCAAGAGGAACCTTCAGAACAAGTGCTAACGCTGGATATAAACTAAACCCCTATGTACAACTAAACCTAAAATGGAAGGACTTTTTACTGTGGGATATGTTTTTTTCTGCACTAGCCCCTCTGCTCGTGGTGTAAGGTGCTGATGCAGTGGATGGTGGCCCATCACAGGGTTGTCATGTATCAGAGGTGTGACCTCCACAGGTTGGTGCACATCAGCAGTGCTGCGTCTGCCACTCATGTCACAGGCTTAAGGCTCACAGTCAGGGCTGCACAAGGGGAGGCTTTGTTTGGTAGTTGTTCTGGACTTTTCAAATGGTGTTTTTCAGCCATTTGTTGTTCTCCTTTGTGTTTTCTTCTACGGGCATCTGGCTGAGTGGCCTCCACCAGCAGCCCTGGCACGTCCCAGTGAAGGTGTCAGGCTGTGCAGTGGAGCAGGGCCGTGCCATTGTGCAGGTCATCAAGGTGCTTTACTGCCTTTTCTCTCCAGCTCCTGGAACAGCTTCTTGGCACTAATAGCAGTCTGAAGAAACACTCTTGCAGGTTCCCATCCTGCTGCTGAAGGATGGCTTTTGTAGGCTTGAGTTACGTGAGGGAGCTTGATGTAACTTCCCTCGGTGCCTCTGCTCTGTGCACCAGGCTTGTGCTGCATGGCAGCATCATTGTGGGGAGCAGGGAGGTAACACCACCCCAGAGGTACCTCATCTGTCCTTTGGCACACTCTGCTTCACCCAGCCTGTGCATCCACGATTGCAGTTCGTTTGAGCAGGGTCTCGGGGCTCAGCTCTGCCTTGCCTCAGACTCTGTTGGATTTGTGGGTGACATTCTCCTCTTGGAGTCTGGTCCCAGTATTTTGGGAGCAAGTCCCTGACTGCTGTGAGTGCACACAGAGCCATTCTGCCTTGCAGCTGCTCCATCCCCACTGTGGTGCTCCGTGAGCCCGGCTGGCTTGTGAGGCTTGGGAGCACGTTCAGCATCCGTTCTCGAGGTGCAGCAGGAGCCTGTGCACTGTCACTCAGACAGCCCGCTCAGAGTTTGTCAGCTGCAAGCAGGATGTCAGTCAGTGCTGTCGGAGTGTGTTTTACAGTGACAGACATAATTGCACTTAACTTTTTGTGTGGATGTTATCAATCTGTGACGGATACTTTGGGGAGAGGAGCACTCTGATTGCAGATGATGTGTCACAGGCATTTAATCTTCCTCGTGGAGAGACCGGGATTCAGTCACAACTTTCACTTGTTGATGTGAGGTTTTGGGAACGTAGGTTCTCACTGACCCTGTAGCTGTTCAGTCATTTGGTTTGCGCGGCTGTCATCCAGCAGGTTAATGATTTACCTGGAGAGGGAAGATCTGGCTGCAATGCACTTGCATTCCTGTGATGTGCTGGTGCAGCAGTGGGTGTGCAGGTTCAGAAGGGCAGAGCTCCTCCAGCCGCCTTCCCGGGATGTCTGGCACTGGTGCTCTGTCCCACCCTGGCAGCAGCTCCTGCGTGGCCACAGGGCCCCGTGCCAGCCAGTGCCAGGGAGGTGCTGGTCCCTCTGTGCCCCAGCCCGGCACGATGGCTGTGTGCTCCTGTCCCTGGTCCTGCCCGTCCTGGGCCGGGCCCTGCAGAGCAGCTGTGCCACGCCAGACCCAGGGCCAGCCTGTGGCTGCCGTGCTGGGGCTCTGGCCTGACCTGTGCAGCTGAAAACCAGCAGGAACAGCTTGTTTTTGCTGCAGCTCAGCCCTGGCAGCCTGCTTGGAGCAGGTCAGTGTGTGCTACCAAGTGCTCAGGGCTCTGAGCTGTGCTCTGGCAGAGCACTGCACCAGGGAAGTGCAGCTCTGGCTTTGATACGCAGGTAGCAATTGCTCTACCTAAACACCTGGAATAAGAGCAAGATGCTTGAATTTTCCTTCTGAGCTCCCAGTTACCTTTTCACTAGTTAAGCTGGCCCCTCCTTAGGAAAAGGAAACAATTTGTTCCTGTTCTCTACTCCCGGTGGAGTTTCATGTTGAGGAATGTAGGAATTTCTTTGCTAGGCAGAGAAGTCTGATTTTTCAAATTGATTTATTAACAGGGTTTGAAATTGGTGGTGTAAGCTTGGGAAGGGATCAGTCTGTGGCTTTCTGCTGCAGGCTGATGATGTGCAATCGAGGCAGATCATAAAGCAACACCAACAAGCCAGTGTGGAGACCCAAGCTGGGGCTGGGATGCACCAGCCTGACTCTGCAGTGTGGTAGTGGAAGGGAAGTCTTCTGCCTTTCCTGTTTTTTAAGTAGATACCCTATTATTTTAAAATAGCTATAATAATTTATTTAAGTCATTTAAAATAGATTTTTATGAAGCATCTGTAAGGGAAAAGGTTCCAGGGCTTCAGTGCTGTCGTGCTGTGGTGTAGAGAGAAGCCAGATCCTGAGAAAGCTGTCATTGCACAGGGGCAGCCACTGCTGGTGGTGTGAGGGGCAGAATGCCTCCGCAGGGCAGTGGGGGTCTGCCTTAAACCCCTCATCTGAACCAAATGCTGACACATGAGGAATACCTAGGGATGGATGTTGCTGCTAT